GAGAACCAGAGACGACGCCCACGGATGCCGAGAGCGCCGCAGAGACTGCGGCCATGAGTGGCGGCGGCATTCTCGAAGATCGGCTCAGGAGCCTGTCCAACGAGGGTGGATGGCCTGCGCCTGAGGCTGCCCAGTGGGGCGGCGGCGGTGATGATGGGCGGGTGGACCGACCGCTGTCCGCCCACGTCCCCGATCCACATCCCATTGGCTTACGCCCGCACTCCGCCGACCACCCTCCCTTGGACGCGGCAAGACAGAGAGGAGCAGACTTCAGCTGCGAGGGGGTCGTCCCGTGGCCTGTGGATGCCTCCGTCCTGGTCGCGCAACCGACCCCTCCAGCTGCGGTGAGCCGACGTCCAAAAGGCTCTCGCCTTCCGCCCGCCGCCTCCCCCGGGCACGACAATATTGCACACGCAGAAGGCGGGCCTTCTGCCCGGGGAGCGCTGCGCGAAGCAGCAGGAGCTCCTCATTCCTTTCTGCGTGTGGCACGAGCTCAAGCTATCACATTGCCAGTCGCTGGGGCTGTCGACCACCACCTCATATCCCATTGCCCCCCCCTGGCAACAGCATCGCGGCGACACGTGGGAGGGCTGCTGAGGGAGCGCCCGCGGTCGGAGACCAGCCCCCCCCCCCGACAAAGACGCGCCTTCAGCCCGGGGAGCACCGTGCGAGACAGCAGGAGTGGACGTGCCTGTAGCTCGGGATTCTAAATGGACAGATGGACGTTGACGGCGGCACGGCTGCCAATCAGCTCCCTGGTCATCCCTGTAACCCCGACGACTCCCGTCTCTCATCCGGCCCCCAAGCTGACAGGCACAGACGGGACGAGCCTTCAGCTCGGGAGTCACAGGCGGGACGAGCCTTCAGCTCGAGTCTCCAAGGCGTATCTGGCAGTTACAGAAGGGACGAGCCTTCAGCTCGAGAACCAGGGACGATGCCCATGGATGCCGAGAGCGCCGCAGATTTTGTGGCCATGAGTGGCGGCGGCATTCTCGTAGATCGGCTCAGGAGCTTGTCCAACGAGGGTGGATGGCCTGCGCCTGAGGCTGCCCAGTGGGGTGGCGGCGGTGTTGATGGGCGGGTGGACCGACCGCTGTCCGCCCATGTCCCCGATCCACATCCCATTGGCTCACGCCCACACTCCGCCGACCACCCTCCCTTGGACGCGTCTAGACAGAGAGGAGCAGCCTTCAGCTGCGAGGGGGTCGATCCTCTTTGGCTTTGAGTGTGGTCCATCCTGCTCGGTTGCATTGCTATGTATTCCCGAGACGCGCTTACAATCCCTGGGTTTCTCTATCAAACAGCGGCCTTCAGCTGCTCCTTGGATGACAGACCCGCCTGGCGGCATCCTGCCGCCCCTCCTGGTACGCGCACTTCCTGCCTTTGGATCCAAGTGTGCGTGCCAGCAATACCGTCCGCATTGCAATCTCGCGTTGCGTGTGGCCATAGCGGCCTCTGGCCCCACTGTAGCTGTTTTCACATTGCCAGGCTCTGCCTGGCACGCAGCTCTGAGACCGACGACCTGGTGGTTTTCGCCCCGTCATTCCCAGATCTGCGCCGCTACTCCCTGGGCTTCCCAAGTTACTACGGCCTTCAGCCGTGCATCTCTTCCTTTCCTGGGAGCGACACTGGGCTCGGAGGTACAGGCAGTCCTTCGTCGTGGGTCGCCCCGCCGTGGTGGCGGAATGCCCACCTGGTCCGCTTGCACCGTACTCTGACTGTGCCGCTGACGTGACCCCGTTCATTGCCGCCTCCCACGGTTGGCCGTGCTTTGCCACCCTGTGGACAGCGATGCACGGTCTCGGCGTGTGACGGGCACTCGGTCTCCCTATCGTCGCTCCCACGCGCAACCTCGTTGTGCGACCACTCCCTGGGACTCTGTGACCGTGAAGGGCTTGCTGACGTGGGTATACGGCACTTTCTTCCTCTTCGAGCGCTTTCCTCGACCTGGCGTTGCGTGGGTTGCGAGGCGCTGGCTGTCACTTAGTCGTTTGGTACACGCCCACTTCCGATTGACCGTGTGTCCCTCTGTTGGTGGGTACCCGTGTACTTCTGCACTGCGGCACACCATATCTCTGGTCTCCTGCGTGCAGGCGCATCTCTCAGCAGTTGTTGTGAGGTTGTCTCAGTTGTCTTTGACCTCAGGCTCACCCTATCAGCCGCGGATGCGTTTTCTGAAGCTGCGACGGTTCGCTGGCGCTGTCAGAATCCCCCTCCTTGCTGGACGACGTCAGCTACGCTTTCGGTCTGCTGATACCCGACAGACTCCCTGGGCTGACTTTCTCGCACGGAGTCTGGTTCCCACCACCATGCGGTTGTCGGTTGTCACGACCATGACTGGGAACGTTCGGCGCGCCATTTTGGCCGCGTCCGCTTTGCTTCCTGGGTGACTGACCCCTCAGACTCCCTGGGCTGCAGCTTGCACGACCGCCTGGCCTCTCAGACGCCCTGGGTTGCTGCTTGCCCCGCCGCCTGATCCGCGGCCCCCGCGCGCGCCCGGGAATTCGTCACGGCCGCAGCCCGACCGTGACTGCTCGCCGCCGGCGCGTCCGCCTGCGGCTGTAAAAAAAAGCGTGTGGGGATACGCGAAGCGTCAAGAAGACATACATATACATCTACATTCTGAGGGGGTAAATTTCTTTTCTAAGGACCTGGGCTTGCCCGTCGGTGTGGCGGCGGCTATGTGGTCGCCGTCGCCGCCGCATCGCCGCCTCGTCGCCGCCCGTTTTTCTGGGCTTGCCCGTCGGTATGACGGCTATGTGGTCGCTGTCGAGGCCCCGTCGCTCTGGGCCTGCCTGTCGGTCTGGCGGCTGTGTGGTCGCCGTCGCCGCCCCGTCGCCGTCTTCGCATTGCTTTGCATTGCGTTACATTGGTTTGCACTGTTTTGCACTGCGTTGCACTGCTTTGCATTGCTTTGCATTGCTGCGCATTACAGTAGATTGATGTGCATTGTTTCATTTGCATTATGTTGCACTGGTTTGCAATTAATTGCATTGTACTGCACACGTCTCCGTTGTTTTACACTGCGTTGCATTGAATTGCATTGCATTGCATTAATTTCCGTTGCTTTGCATTGCTTTGCACTGCGTCTCACTGCATTTCAATGGCTTGCATTGGTTTGCATTGTTTTGTATTGCGTTGCATTGCTTTGCATTGTGTTGAATTTCTGTGTATGGCTCTGCATTGATATAATTTGTGTTGCATTGCGCTACACTGCGTTGCATTGCTTTGCACTGCGCTACCCTACGGTGCGCTGTTGTTCATTTCTTTGTACTGCTGTTCTCTGACTTGCACTGACGTGCATGAAGTTACATTGCTTTGCAGTGGCTTGTATGGATGTGCATTGTTCTGCACTGCGTTGCATTGCTGTTCATTGCTTCCCATTGCGTGCATCGCTTTTCACTGCTTGAACTGCGTTGCACTGCTGTCCATTGGTTCGCATCGCGTTGCATTGATTTGCAAGTTGTTGGATTGCTTTGGACTGCTTTGCACTGCTGTGCATTGTGTTGCATTGACTTGCATTGCTTTGCGTTGAATTGAACTGCTTCTCCCTGCTTTTTATCGGTTTGCGTTGCGTTACATTGCTTTGCATTGCGCTGCATTGCGTTGCATTGCTTTGTACGTCTCTGCATTGTGCTGCGTTTCTTTGCAAGGTGTTGCATTGCTTTGCGTTGCGTTTAATTGCGTTGTACTGCTTTGCATTGCGTTGAATTGGCTTGCATTGCTTTGCACTGCGTTGCACTGCGCTGTACCGCCTTACACTGGTTTGCACTGCGTTTCCCTGCGTTGCACCAATTTGCATTGCTTTGCACTGGCGTGCATTGATTTGCATAGCTTTCCATTGCTTTTCATTGCTTTGTTGCTTTGCGTTGCTTTGCATTGCGTTACATTGACTCGAAGTGTTGCGCATTGTGCTGCACTGCTTTGAGCTGGTTTGCACTGCTTTGCACTACCTTGCATGGCGTTGTGTTGCTTTGAATTGCGTTGCGTTGCACTGCGTTGCGTTGCGTTGCATTGCTTCGCATTGCTATGCGCCAAAGTAAGATTGCACCACTTGGATTGCACAACCTAGATTGCGCCGCGAAAATACAAAAAAAACACGGTTCGGGGTCCACGCTGGGTGGCATATATGTATAGTCTCATGTATGCATTACATGCATATATGCATCATGATACACAAGTGCGCGCGCATTGAACGCAAAACAAACACATCATAGTCCGTGAACGAAGGCGGCATACAACGTAGTTAGTGCCGAGCGTGTCGCCCTCTAGAGCAATGGCAGCCCCAGAGGGCCGATGTTGGCTGGCCCCCTGACGAAGCTGGCGCTCAGCCCTGAACTCAACTGCGGGCCACGATGCAGCGGGGCGCCCGGGGGGGGGGCGCGTAGCGTCGAGGGGGGGGGGGAGGGGAAGACGCCAGGCCCGTGTGCAGCGGCCACCGAGCGGGAGGGAGGCCAGCCCAGCCCAGCCCAGCCCAGCCCGTGCCAGCACGGCCCAGCCCAGCACGGACCGAGAGGGAGGGAGGCTTCGCCCAGCCCAGCCCAGCCCCAGCCGTGCAGGGGCCGAGGGGGGAGGGAGGGAGGCAGGGCGGGGGGCAGGCCCGGCGCACCCCAGCCTGGCCCAGCAACGAAGCGATGGGGGAGGGAGGGCGAGAGGCGCAGGGAGGCCCAGCCCTGCCCAGCCCGACCAACTCGGCGGGGAAGGAGGAGAGCGGGGAGGCAGAGAGCGGGGGAGGGGAGGAGGGGGGGAAGGCCGACGTCGTCGAACGGTGGCATGAGCACGAAACTGTGCTCAACGGGAGGGAAGAAGAGAGGCGGGGAGGGAGGACGGGAAGGAGGAGATAAAAAAGGAAGGGAGGAGGAGGAGGGGAGGAGGGAGGAGGAGGAGGAGGAGGAGGAGGAGGAGGGGAGGGGGGGGTAAGAAAGGGGACGCTCTCCCCAGGCCTGTCGCAAGGCACTGCCACTTTCGCGCCCCGAGGGGGCGCGGGGGCGGCGGCGCACGCGGAAGCCCTGGGGCATGAAGCCGCCGGCGTGGGCCGGGCCCTGCTCGCGCGACTCCTGGGGGGGTGGCAGAGGGCGACTGGGCCTCGGGATCCTCGCTGAACCTCCTCCTCCTCCTCCTCTTCTTCCTCCTCCTGCTCCTCCTCCTCCTCCTCCTTTTTCGCGTGACGTTGCGCGGACCTCAATCGGATGATCGTGGCGCCTGGACCTGCTCCTCCTCTTCCTCCTCCACCTCGTCCTCCTCCTCCTTCACGTTGCGTTGCGCGGACCTAGATCGGGTGATCGTGGCGTCTGGTCCCTCTCCCTCCTCCTCCTCCTCCCTCCTCCTCCTCCTCCTCCTCCTCCTCCTCTTCCTCCTCCTCCTCATCCTCCTCCTCCTCTTCCTCCTCCTCCCCATCATCTTTCACGCTGCGTTGCGAGGACCTAGATCGGGTGATCGTGGCGTCTGGTCCCTCTCGTCCCCTCCTCCTCCTCCTCCTCCTCTGCCTCCTCCTCCTCCCTCCTCCTCCATTCCTTTTCCTTATAAATAACTTCTCCCTGTCGCACCCCGAGGCCGGTTTTGAGGGCGGGCCGGGCGTCTCGCATGAGACTTCCTCGCCATTTATGATTCTGAAGCTTAAACATGGCAACAGCTTCACAGACTGAGGGCGGGTGGATTTCAAGATGTGGCTCTCGCCTTAGCGCCGCGCACATTCGTCTTAATAAAGTGCAAGGGTTTCACGGATTGAGGACGGGTGGTGTTCAAAATGTGGCTCTCGCCCTAGCGCCGCGCACATTCGTTGTAAAACTTCGAAGAGCTTCACGGAATGAGGGCGGTTCCTTTTCAACATGTGGCTCTCGCAGCGCCGCGCACATTCATTGTAAACTGTTGCAAAAAAATCACTGGTTCCCATGATCAACGTACCAGAAATGGTGTTTGGGATGGATTCCGGATTATCCTGGTGCAACAGTTATGCTGTTTCGCGGTGTTGAAGTCCCAAAAACGGCGTTCTGGCACGACTCTAGATCGTCAAGACGCAGCAGTCAGGTTGATCCGTGGCGTGGGCATCCCTAGTACAGTGTGTTGGCATGCTCCAAAGTCTTCAAACGGTTGTCGTCCAATGAGGCAGTTCCCTCAATGAAAACGAACCGTTGAAGGGGCCTATGAAGAGGGAGCTTGGAGGGAGGGTTGATTTCAACATCGTTGATGACTCGTGGGTCTACACTGGTCCTCTTCCTCCTCCTCCTCCTCCTCCTCCTCCTCCTCCTCATCATCATCATCATCATCATCATCCTCCTCCTCCCTCCTCCTCCTCCTCCTCCTCCTCCTCCTCCTCCTCCTCCTCCCTCCTCCTCCTCCTCCTCCTCCTCCTCCTCCTCTCCTCCTCCTCCTCCTCCTCCTCATCCGGCCCCCCTCCTCCTGTCCTCCTCCTCCTCCTCCTCCTCCTCCTCCTCCTCCTCCTCCCCCATCCACCTCCCTCTCCTGTCACACCCGTCTTCAGTTAAACGATGTGAATACTGCTCTCAAGTCTCCCCTAAACAAGTTCCGAAAGATCTCCAGCCCCCTCCGCGTTCTGTTGTTTCTCCCACCCAGGACTTCAACAATTGTCTTTCTATGAGAACCCAGATGCTTCCAGCGTTTCAAAAGATGCTCGCTGCAGCGTGGGTCTCATTGGCTGATCGACGCGTCATTCGCGTCGTTCAGAATGGCGCTCTGGCCCAAGCGCGGGCCACTCCTCTGGATCCGAGTCTTGCTTCATTGTGGTCCCTCCCATCATTTCCCCTCCTCCGCCTTCCCCTGGTCTTCCTGTTCATCCCGTTCCTTCCACTCCAGTTCATGATACTGCTGTTCGTCTCGTCCCAGCGCGGGCCACTTTTCTGAATCCGAGTATTTATGCATCGTTGTCGCCACCACAATTCCCCTGGTCATCATTTCCCTGGTCATCCTTTCCCTCACGACCTGCTGCTGCTGCTGTTCGTCCTCATCCTTTCCCTCACGCTCATCCTCCTGCTCACCCACCACCTCCTCCTCGTCCTGTGCACGCAGCTCCCCTTTTTTCGATTGCGCATAACACGAAGCGGTCTTTTTGTGTGAGTCGCAGGTCGGCTATGACACGCGTCCGCGGATAGAGAAAAATCAGCGCCATAGGAAGGGATGGGAGGGTGGGATAGGGTGTCAGATGAGGCGCGAGCGCACCTAGCTTGTCTCCTCCCCTCTCCATATTCCCATATTTGCCTCTCCACCCAAGCCCTCCACGCCACTCCCATATTTCCTCGTCCTCCCCCATCATGCTCTCTCATCCCCTCGTCCTCACCACTCCCTCCCAGCCTCCCTCCTCTCCTTGTCCTCTCTCTATATATATATATATGGACAGCTAGATAGATATATAGATAGATAGATAGATAGACAGATAATTAGTTGCATAAATATAGTGATGGAAATATGGATATATGGATGGACGAATGGGTGTATCGAGAGATAGATAGTTATATATACATATATATATATATATATATATGTATATGTGTACTTACATGTATGCATACATCTATTGATATAGATAGATGGCAGTATCTATAGGCTGATTGATTTGTACATATATATATAGATGGATCCTCCCCTCGACCTTTCAGTCCTGCCTCTCGGAAAGCGTGCAGTTGACGCCGCTTCTGCCCACGAGCGCTAGGATAGAGGGGGTTCAGTCTAGGGGCGTGCGTCCCCATTGCTTGTCTTGTCAGGAAGGCCGCCCAGTCCCCGTGATTCCACTCTGGCGCATGAGCATGGTAAACAAAACAGTGGATTTCCAAGCGGGCCTGGCCCATCAACTCGGAGGCTCTCGCTGCTCTTCCTCCGAAACTCCGGGTCCAGAATCTAACCTTACGCGGCCCTGGTAGACCTGTTACGCTGACTGCTCCCTTTGCGCGAGCGCCTCGACGAGAGGAGATGATGCGCCGCAGCGGGCTGGAGACTCCCACATAACAACCCCGCCCGCGTCTCCCACAACAATCGAGGCTGATGAGAGAGGACCCGCGAGAGGACACAATGCTCTTCCGAGGGCAGCGTGGCTTCTGAACAAGGGCCCTTCGGCCCCAGGAGTGCAGCAGGCATGGCACCACGCACGGGACACCAGGGCACCCTCGACCAAGGACGGGTCGACCTCCTACAGCCAATCGTGCTCCCACGCAGAACGCTGCATGAGGAACGAGGAGGCGTTCCTGGCCACGGCGAGCCCCGGCCGCGAAGAGGCTCCAGGCCCTAAATATACAGGGCAGTTTTTAACACTGTGGATTTTAAATTGGCTTTTAAAGACATGATTAATGTATGAGTAAATGTATGCATGAACTCATCGTTACTTTAAATGCTAAATCCCTGCATGTTAAATACACGATCCGCACGCGGAACATGTATTAAAACGGCACTGTACGGAAGGGCTCGAAAAGCAGAGCCCCTTCAGAGCCCGAGGAGATCTTTGTTTCAGCGTCTTGACTGTAGTCAAACTCGACTGCGCCACACAGCGCAGCCTTCCCGCTCTCGGGTCCACCTGGATGTCCCTGGAGCCGTCGCCCCCGTGGCGCGTAGCTTGTCTTCCGTGACTGGTGTACAGGCCCTCCTGGCCTAGACCTGGAGGTCACTACACCCGTCCAGGGCCCAGGATGGGCCTGGCCAGGGCTGGTGGTGTGCTGTTGGCGTCCCTCCGACGACGGCCGCTTCCCCCCCTGGAGGGTGGGACTTTCTAATGGGACGCACAAGGACATACTAATACTAGATGTTATCCTTGGAGCCGCGAATCCGACCCAAACATATAGTATACCCATCTCGTAGTACATCGCTTCCCGAGCGGTGTGGCCAGAGTGAGCCCGCCACGACGCATATGCTACAAGATTTCTCGGTGCGCGCGTCGCCCCTTGGGCGGGCGAGCTGGGGCGACCAGTGAGGCCGACGGACAAACGAAAACAAACAACAACAAACAAAACCAAGGAATGGGGCCAGCCGAGGGGCCGAGCGACCAACGTCACCCAGGGAAGTGACAACCAAACCCTAGAGATAGATTAGGTTTGCGCCCGCCCCCCCAAAAAACAAAACATATCAATTATTGAAATAGGAAGGCGCTTAAAGTAGATTGAGATCTGAGAATCCAAGAATACGTACTTTCAACGACGTGTGGGTAGTGTATAAGTATGCTGGGGCGATGCCAAGTCGAAAGACAATCTCTCTGGAGCCAGTCGGCCACCAAAAGGCCCAGGGCCACTTCCCGCCGCCGCCCCCCCCGCCCCGCGGGCGGCAGGTCGGGCTCCGCCGCCAGCGCCCGGAAAACCAGCATGAGCCCCAGAGACCTCACGGCCGGAGCAGGAGAGGGAGAGGTGGAGAGAGGATGGAGGGAAGGATGGGGGGGGAGGAGGAGGAGGGGGAGGAGGAGGAGGAGGAGGAGGAGGAGGAGGAGGAGGAGGAGGAGGAGGAGGAGGAGGAGGAGGACGGGGGGAGGAGGGGGAGGAGGAGGAGGAGGAGGAGGAGGAGGAGGAGGAGGAGGAGGAGGAGGAGGAGGAGGCGGAGCGTCCTCAGGAAAGTCTCACGTCCTTACCCAGCCACTATGTGACGAGGGGCGGAGCTGCCTCCAGAAGGGAGGTCAACAGCCTGCCGCGCAGCCTTGCCGATCGAACGAGTGATCGAGAGGGGGAACGACTCACTGATGCCCGCACGTCTCTCCTGTTGGAGGCGACGGTGCAGGTGGAACATCAGCACCACACCTCGAGCCGAGTCCAGCAATGGTTCGACCAGGCCGAGCGCGACGAGAAAAGCAGCGGGGAGAGGGCGCCCAAGAGCCAGCCATATCATCGCACGGAATGGCACGCAACTGAAGGAATGCTTCAAGCTGTTGGGAGCAGTACATCCGGGGCAGCGTCGACGGTCAACACTCTGGAGACGAGTATCTGTAACCCAGCCCCCGAGCCAGGTCTTGATGCGCGCACAACGCCAGCTCGGGGGGCACTCCAGATGACCTTCTCTACTTCATTCCAGGCCAATGTGGCAGCCTCCCGGGGGGGGAATGCCGAACCATTTTGGGAGCCTCTCCTGGACCAGGAGAAGGAGGAGGACGAGGAGGAGGAGGAGAAGGAGGAGGGGAGGCTACGTTCTGACGAACCAGTTGTCAGGTGCCAGGAGGAGGAGGCGGATTAGGAGGATGAGAAGGAGGAGGGGGAGGAGGAGCTGACTGGATTGTTTACTGCGCAAAAGCCTCGAACCTGAATGGGAGCACGGTCACATGCTATCTGCTTGCTACATCCACTGCACTGCTCTATTACGTCTAACCTCTGAGAGAACTCATACGTAGCACCCCGCAGATGCGGATGAGAGCGAGGGGGCGGTGGGGACGTCGGCAGTCTGCGAGACCCTGGAGAAGTCCGCCGCAGGCGCCAAAGTTTCACAAATTATACAACGAGCCCGCCCCAGGCCCCGATTTTCTAATTAAACCAACCTGGGAGTCGCAGGAGGATCGCGGGTGGGTCGCAAATGGGTCGCGGCTGGGTCGCGGGTGGGTCGCTGTTGGGTCGCGGGTGGGTCGCGGGTGGGTCGCGGATGGGTCGCGGGGTGGGTCGCAGGTGGGTCGCAAGTGGGTCGCGGCTGAGTCGCGGATGGGTCGCGGGGTGGGTCGCGGGTGGGTCGCGGATGGGTCGCGGGGTGGGTCGCAGGTGGGTCGCAAGTGGGTCGCTGGTGGGTCGCGGGTGGGTCGCGGGGTAGGTCGCGGGGTGGGTCGCGGGGTGGGGGTCGCAGGTGGGTCGCGGAGTGGGTCGCGGGGTGGGTCGCGGGGTGGGTCGCGGGGTGGGTCGCGGGTGGGTCGCGGGGTGGGACGACAACAACAAACAAACAAACAAACAAACAAACAAACAAACAAACAAACAACAGTAACAACAGTAACAACAACAACAACAACAACAACAACAACAACAACAACAACAACAACAACAACAACAACAACAACAGCACCAACAACGACAACAACAGGAACAACAACAACACAACAACGCAACAAACATAATCCTCACCACGAATCCCCACTTCAGCCACGCACCCAGGGACAATGAATAACCGTTCGGCCCCCTCACTCTGACTACACTTGACCTTAGCCCAGGGTCAAACTGCACCTGAAATCTGACAAGAGGGGAGGGGGGAGAGGGAGGTGGAGGAGCACAAACAGGAGGACGAGCAGAAGCAGGAGGAGCAGGGGGTGGTCACCACTCTGTCGCGTTGAAGGTAGTGCTGTTGCAAGTAGCTATCGCTGGACCCGAGGCGACCACAGGCACGGCCCACACCGAGCCAGCCGAACCACTAGCTGCGTGCACCCGCGTTACTCTGGACGCCGCGAGGGTTGTTCGCATCGATGGGGAAGGAGGGGAGGGAAGGGACAAGGGAGGAGAGAGGAGGGAGGTCGACGGGGAGCGAGGGAAGTGAAGGAGGTAGGAAGGAGAGCTGCCGCGAGGGTTGTTCACATCAGTGGGGAAGGAAGGAGGGGAGGGACAAGGGAGGAGAGAGGAGGGAGGCAGAAGGGGAGCGAGGGGAAGTGAGGGAGGTAGGAAGGAGAGCGGAGAAACTGAGGGGGGAGGAGGCTTCTGCGTCGCACACCGGGGGCGCGAGGCAAGCCAGGTGCGCTCGCGACACATCTGACATCTTGTCCCTCCCTCCCACCCTTCCCGTTGCGCTGTCGGATGCGTGTCATAGCCGACCTGGAACTCCAAACAAAAAAAAACCATCGTGCTCTGCGCAATCGGAAAAAATGCGGCTGCGTACATTGGAGGAGGAGGAGGAGGAGGAGGAGGAGGAGGAGGAGGAGGCAAAGCGCTGCATCAGGAGGAGGAGGAAGAGGAGGAAGGGTGCGGGTGAGGAGGAGGAGCAGGAGGAGAAGTAGGAGGAGGAGAAGGAGGAGGAAGAGGAGGACGAAGGAGGACGAGGACGAACAGCAGACGCAGGAACTGGAGTGCAAGCACCCGGAGGAGCAGGAGGGCGAGGGGGAAGGCGGAGGACGGGAAATGAGGGGGGCGACAGCGATGAAAAAGGACTCGGATCCAGAAAAGTGACCCCCGCTGGGGCGAGAGCGCCATTCTGAACAAAGCGCCGATCCGAAAATGAGGCCCACGCCGCAGCGGGAACACCATGTTGAAGCACAGAACACACACGATAAATCAAGGCTTGGAACCCAGTGTGTAAAAACAATACGCGGAGAGGATCGAACATATTCTGGACAGAGTAATGGGAGAGAGGAGAGTAAACTTCAGAATGTGAAATTGTGGAAAGGAGGACAATGAACGGAAAAGGTGAAGGGGGTCACGTCAAGGGGGGGGGGGGGACGATCCGCCACCGACTGGCAGGACCTGCCAGCAGGCTAAGGAGGGCCCCAGTGAGGAGGAGGGGGAGAAGGGGACTTGGAAGGGGAGGGGGCGAGGGGACGGGAAGGGAGGAGGAGGCGAAGCGACTCGAGGCGCCGGTGTGTCGCCCCGGGGGGGGGGGGGGGGCGGCCCGACGAGAGCCCGGCGGTGGCGCCAGGGCGCCGAGAAGCATGAGCCCCCGCTCAGATGCTGGAGTCGGGTTTTAGAGAGCTGGATCGGCGAAGGGGCCGAGACGAGTGCTGGAGTCGGTAGCATTTTGAGCGGGAGTCGGAGGCGTCGGAGGCGTGGCATAGGAGACGACAGTGAGGAATTGAGGGAGGAATCTGCCATTCCAAGCCGTGACAAAAACACTTGTGCAGGCCAAGAACGTATCTTCCAAAGCCTTCCACGCGTGCCAGTTTGCTGCGATTGATAACCATTATCGGCTATCATTATGAGCGTCGTTGTGTTGTGTCGTACCTGTGGTGCGGAGGAATTAAGTGATGTCGTCATCCCAGCGCTTCTTTTGGCCTCCATGACGTCGGTGTGCTGGTCGATGACCGTGGCAGCTTGGTTCCCAATTTCTAGATAAGAACGTCCACCTGTCGCGGTCGTGCGTCGCAACTCGCGATGCCCATCTCCATTTCCGTGTGAAGTAGATCGTGGCCCATGATACTACACGTGAACGCTTGGCGTATTGTGTGGCTGTCCGGGTTGTTCTGCGCATGTATTCTGCCCACGGTTTCATTCCGTCTTTCCATTCGTCGTCCACAGTGCTGCGTGATGGATCCTCGCCATTTGTTGTCATGCTGTCGGTCGTAGTCTGGTTGTTCCCACGCCCACCGTGAGCGTTCTGGTGGCATGCGTTGCGACGTCGCGGCACGCCCATGATGAGTCTGAGCATTTCTCGTTGAACGCGCCGCAAGGTGAGCAGCATTTCTTTGGTAAAGGTCCAGGAGGAGCACACGTACATCACTGACAGCGTGACCGTGCCATTAAATAATTTCATCCTCCTGTGTAATGGGAAACGTTTGCTTGTCAACTCGTATCTCACTTGGTTGAAGCGGCCCCACCCGGCTGCGATTATTTTACGTAGTTCTACGTCATGGACATTGTAGAACGTCAACTTTCTCCCCAAATATGTTGTACTTTGGTCAGACCGCAAAATGTCGACCCGTCCAATGATCGATTGTCCTCCCCTCCCTCCAGCTAACATTTGTCAGAATTTGCGTCCCGTCTGGATGCAATCATAAACCACACTTTGCTGCTCCGTCGCTGACGTCTCGAAGTAAGCAAGTGAGTTTGCGTAAGTTGCCGCCTGCGTCTTTCCACCTCCACCCGCATGCGTCTTTCCACCTCCACCTCCACCCGCATGCGTCTTTCCACCTCCACCACCACATGCGGACCTCCGACCTCCATCAGCTTAACACTCCGACCACCAGCCTGGAGCATCCGACCTCCCACCAACGCCACCACCGCCTAAGCACCTCCAACCTTCAGCATCACAGCAGCCCGACATTCAAAATCAAGCATCCGACCTCCCACTTCCACTTGCAGTCGACATTCCACTGTCACCTCTACCTGTCGACCTCCAGCCTCCACCAGTTCAGCATTCCGACCTCCAACCGCCAGAGCCTGACTTTCCACCGCCAGCAACTCCACGTACCGACCTCCAGCCTACCACCTCCAGCATTCGACCTCCGCCCAGCGACCCCCAGCCCCAACTTCCTGACCTCCATTGTCCAATTTCCAACGCACAGCGACCATCAGCTGCCGACCGACAGTTTACCGCCTCAAAATCAATGCCTCCAACTTACGACCGTCAGCAGCTCGGGGCGAAGAGCGCAGGAAAGGGACGAGGATATTACAATGCTGTTGACGGTGAGGTCCCGATCAGCCTGTGGCGAAGCACACAGAAGGAGAACGATGCCAGCCAAACGACTGCCCATAACAGCGCAAAGCCGGTTCGGTTTCGCCAGCATCTCCGAAATTGTTCACCATCAACCACAAAAATGCGCGAAGTTTGACGAACGACGATTCGATCCATATACTTCTGGAACCCACGACCACGACAACGAGGAAGACCCTTTCGGGCCTGCACGACGGCGCGAAGGTCTATCGCCAAGCTCGCGCCTCTGGCCCAACCGCTATGGACAGCTGCCTTGGGCCACGTGCCAATTCGCGCGACCTCGAGGGTGCCTGGGCAACCCACGACCACGACAACGAAGATAACCCTTTCGGGGTGGTGACCTTCACAACCACTGCGATATGTCACCCACGCCCCCGGCCGGCCATACGCGGCAGCTTGTCCCCCAGGAGCCCCCAGTGGCCTGTGGGCTAGACGCTCACGCAGGCGCCGAAGTCGATCGCCAAGATCGTGCCGCTGGCCCAACCGCTCCCGACAGCTGTCTTGAGCCACCGATCAATTCCCACGACCCCGAGGGGCCTGGGCAACCCACGACCACGGCAGCAAGGAAGACTCTTTGGGGCTGGGTTGTGACCTTCGCAACCCTCCCGAGATGCCACCCACGCCTCCAGCCCCACGCTCCAGCTCGGTCCCCCCGCAGCCCCCAAAGGCCGGCGAACTGGCCGCTCACGCATGCGCCGAAGTCGTTCGCCAAGATCGCACCACTGGGCCATCAGCTGCAGCTGCCAACAGGTGCGCTGACTCCAGCGCTGCCATCCACGACTTCGAGGTGGCCTGGGTCGTCCACGTAGAGGATCTGGCTGGACTTGGAAGTGACTTCCAAAACCCGGACGCAGCGCCACCCGCGCCGTCTGCCCTCAAAGGCAGCACGGTCATCCCACAGGCCCACGCGCCCCTGCGGAGCGGGACACCACGGGGGCGCCCGTCCCACGTCGGCGAGGCGCACGGCCCCGTCGCTGAACCGCATCGCGGCCGCCCACTCACGCACCAACCGGCGCCCCTGCGTGCTGAGCACAGCGAGCCGCCACGCTCGTGACCGCCAGTGTGCCGAAACTGGCGCACCCACCTCGCCATCGCTCGGACGACCAGTCCCCGTGCATCTTTCGGCTTCGAGCGTGCACTTACTCGTGAGAGGATCCCAGATGCTCCTCGAGGGCCCTCGCCGAGGAGAACCAATGCGCACGTCCGAACGAAGCCAAGCAACCGCCGCCACGCACATGGCCGCCAACGCCCAGTGGCGAGCGGCCTCGGCGCAGTCGCCCTCACCAACGCCCTGGTGCGACGAGGCGCTCGCCCAGGCTGCGGCCGCCACCGAGGCGCTTGCCGGCACTCGCAGGCTGCCGTGGCGGCCGACAGGCGCAGGCAGGCCAGCCGCGCGGCAAGGCTCCACGAGCGCTGCTCGCCGCTCATGCTCCTGCGTCCCGCAGCGGGCCGAGCCGAAGGCCTGGCCACCACTGCCCTGGCGTGCCTCACCCCAAAGTTGCGCCCACAGGCCGTTCTGTCTGGCTTGCATGCTTCGCCCCCCCCCCCCCCCCCCCCCCGCGACCCCCCTCCGCGAGAGGGGGCACTTCGCGGAGGGTTCCACCCGGGTTACCCGCCAATTGGAAGAAGTAGATGGGAACAACGCCCGGCCCGTGAGTGCCCCCACCCCCCCGCGAGGGGGGTGGTACTTCGGGTCGAGGGGGCGTCCTGCCACGGCGCCGTTTCGCTCTCGGCCTCCACCCAGGTGGGTTCCCCAGCGGTCTTGCGCCGCCTGGCGTTCGGGGCCCTTCTCCGCCGAGTTGTCGTGCATGTTCTCGCGCGCCGAGGGGAACCCTCTGCTTCCATCGCCCCAACCTGCTGCGCGCCAGCCCCGAGCGCTGAACGTACGGGACGGCTTCCGCCCAGCGCCAGGGTGAGCCCCTCGCCCTATATATATATATATATATATATATATATATATATATATATATATATACATACATACATACATACATACATACATACATACACACACATGCATGCATACATACATACATACACACATACATACATACATACATACATACATACATACATTTATACATTTATACATACATGCATACATACATACATACATACATACAGACATACATACGTACGTACGTACGTACATACATACATACATATATACATACATACATACATACATACATACATACATACAAACAAATATATGTATATGTTTATATGTATACATAAATGTGTGTATATACATACTAGAACCATCGCGCGCGCTTCGCGCGCGCTCAAGCTCTAGCTAGGCTTGATGGGCGAACGCATGGAATATCATCCTCGTCGTCTCTTGCATCCAAGGACTCTCGGAGGCCCTGCGCGGGCCTCGGAATCGTATAGAAGGGAAACTGCGGAAACACGGAAATCACTAATCGCCGTGAGGTAATCAACGATTTGGGGCCCTCGCAGCCTTCCTGGGTTCTTTTCTGGGGCCTTAACTGGCAAGAGATGACAGGAGGGCGCACTTGGAAAAACAAACGAATGATGGGATTTTCCTGTCTTAAAAATTACAGCGCCGGGTCTTCGTGCAAAAATAAGCAGGGGGTGAGTTTGAAAAAAGGGATTCTAAAATTCCACTGCTTCAACTCATGGGATCATGGGATTATGATTTCTACAATGGTTCCAGAGGCAGCCAAGAGGACACGAAGACGATCCAAGAGAGTGCCAAGACAGCGTCAGAGAGTTCAACATCATTCCCGAAACATTCTTGCATGCGACCCCGAAGTCTTGCTGGGGCTCGAGGACGAGGATAGGGAGTAGGAGTCCCAATTTGAAAAAAAAGGAATCTCTGGAATTCCCTTTTTTCCCAAATTCCTCGGTCTTGGAGAGTTGGAAGCGGGAAAACGTGAGAAGGCGAAAAGCGTCGACTAAAACCACTGGAAGAGCAACGATTTGACCCTCTTCGGGCTCTCTCGGGACGCCTCTCAAAGCTCTCTTGGTTGTTTGGGGGGCTTCGTAGGAAATTTCTAGGGAGTCTCTCAAGGGTCTGGGGTGTGTTGGAGGCCTCTCGGGGGTCCCAGAGTCCTCTCGGAAGTCTCTGGCGGCCTCCTGCTCCCGCTCTTGGGCTCATCTTGGGCCTGTTCTGGGATGGTCTGGAGCTGTCTGGGGCGCCTCTTCGGCAGTCTTGGGGCCGTCTTGGCCCGTCTTGGGGCCGTCTTGGGGGCCTCTTGGGGGGTCTCGGGGCGGTCTTGGGGGCCTCTTCGGCCGTCTTGGAGCGTTGGAAGCATGAAATGGTGAGAAGGCCAAAAAAACATGTTGTAACAAAAAACTGTGAACATTAACAATTTTAGGTTCTCCGGGCGCTCTCGGGAGGCCTCTCGGAGCCCTCTTGAGGTCGTTGGGAGGCCTTCTGGGAGCCTGGAGAGCCGCCCGAAAGCTATGCTGGGTTGCTTGGGAGCGTCTTGGGTCTTTCTTTGACGTTCTGGGGGCTTCTTGGGGTCGTCGTGGGCTGTCCTTGGGCGTTTTGGGGGCTCACCGGGAGGTCGGGAAGCGCGGTACCGCGAGCGTTCCGCAGATGTTCCAGGAAGGTGTGGGACCCCCCGGAGGAGGGGGCGCGCATCTGTTGAACTTGACAACAAGGAATCTCTGAAATTCCTTTTGTTTCAAGATCCTCGGCCTTGGAGCGTTGGAAGCGGGAAAACGTGAGAAGGCGAAAAGCGTCGACTAAAACCACTGGAAGAGCAACGATTTTACCCTCTTCGTTCTCTCTCGGACGGCTCTCAAAGCTCTCTTGGGCTGCTTTGGGGGCCTCGTCGGAGCTTTTTTGCGGGCCTCTCAGGGGTCTGGGGTGTGTTGGAAGCCTCTGGGGGGTCCCGGAGTCCTCTCGGAGGTCTCTGGCGGCCTCCTGCTCCCGCTCTTGGGCTCATCTTGGGCCTGTTCTGGGATGGTCTGGAGCTGTCCGGGGCGCCTCTTCGGCAGTCTTGGGACCGGGGCCTCTTGGGCGGTCTTGGGGGCCTCTTCGGCCGTCTTGGAGCGTTGGAAGCATGAAATGGTGAGAAGGCCAAAAAAACATGTTGTAACAAAAAACTGTGAAAATGTACCATTTTAGGTTCTCCGGGCGCTCTCGGGAGGCCTCTCGGAGCCCTCTTGAGGTCTGTGAGAGGTCTTCTGGGAGCCTGGAGAGCCGCCCGAAAGCTATCCTGGGCTGCTTGGGAGCATCTTGGGCAATTTTGTTACGTTGTGGGGGCTTCTTGGGGTCGTCGTGGGCTGTCTTTGGGCATTGTGGGGGCTCACCGGGAGGTCGGGAAGCGCGGTACCGGGAGCGTACACGAGATGTGAGCGAAATGGAGGACGCCCCGGGAGGGGACCCGGCGTATTTGCTATACGTTTCAAAACGGGCGTGTCAAGGCAGCTCAGGGCCGAGATGCACCGCCCATTCCACGATGAAGCCCCACTCCCCCGAGTCCGCCCCCCGCTTTCGCCCCCCCCTCCCCCCCATCGTGGTCGCCGTCGTGGTCGTGGTCGTGGTCTTGGCCGCGGTGATGGTGATGGTGGAGGCCTTCCAGAAGCCCCCAGAGGGCCCCCGGACCCCGAATGGCGTCCAAGAGGGATCCTGGCCATCGCTCGGACGTCCATTTCCTGTGTTTTTTTCGGTTTCGTGTGCGGCTTTTTCGCCAAATGATCAAGGATGCTCCTCGATGGCTCTCGCCGAAGGAAAAGTGCACGCGTCCGAGCGATGCCAGGGATCTCGTTGACGACCCGGCAAGGATGAGGAGGAGGAGGAGGAGGAGGAGTAGGAGGAGGAGGAAGATGATGATGAGGAGGAGGAGGAGGAGGAGGAGGGTCGTGCGGAAAGAGGACGAGGGGGGATCGAGGACGACGATAACGACCCGGCAAGGCGGCGGGCTGGACCGAAGGAGGCCTCGAGGAAGACAGGCCGTGCCGGTGGCGTCCGCAGGGCCTGCCTGCTGGGGCGGCGACGCAGTGCCGTCGCCGCCGCCGACCACGAGGCGCGGGCGGCAGCTTGACGAGGAGCTCTCCTGTGGGAAACTGCACATCCTCCTCCTCCTCCTCCTCCTCCTCCTCCTCCTCCTCCTCCTCCTCCTCCTCCTCCTCCTCCTCCTCCTCCTCCTCCTCCTCCCTCCTCCTCCTCCCCTCCTCCTCCTCCTCCTCCCTCCTCCTCCTCCTCCTCCTCCTCCTCCTCCTCCTCCTCCTCCTCTCCTGTGGGAAACTGCAAACCGCGCCATCTCTATGCATGCTCCGCTCTGCTGTGATACAGTCGGGGCGTTGACCTAAGGAACGATAAATAAGGAACGGGGCCCCTGTTTCCCATATAGTAAACTCCCATTTCCCATGGAAAACCTCCGGAAAACCCGAGGAGCACTGTAAAGCAACTAAGGAACACGGAGCCCCTCCCCAACGAAAAGGGTTCCTTCTTCAGCGCCCCGACTGTACATGCTCCGATCTGCTGTGATAGCGACACGAAGGTTTGAGACGCGCTGACACCAAAACGCTGCTCGGCGACAGACCCAACCCTGCGCAGCCGCGCGCAGCGAAGGGCGTGGCTCTCCCCTCGTGTACTGCGCGGGGGCGTTCGAACATCGAAGAACCCCCCGCACGCGAGTTCGCCCAGCCAGCGCCAAGCACTCATCGCAATCGCCGCCACATGGGATTAGCAAACCAAGTTGCGAGCGGGTGGGTGGGATGGTTGCGCGAGCAGTGGAATGTACAACTCACTGCGAACAGAAAGCAAGTCGCCGTTCCCCAAGCAAATTGGTTTCTACCCCCATCACCCCCCGGATTTGTCAAGCTGGCCTCGCGCATTGCAGTTTACATATGACCCCGCTTCCTCATTCATTTTGCAAACGAATTCGTACTATCCCAGCCAGACCAGAGTTCGACCCCCCCTTCCCATCCTGTGCAGGAAACACTAAGCGCGCACACTCGTCTCTCAAAAGACAGCAGTTCTCAAAAATCCTGTGCAAGAACATGAGGCGACGTGCACACGCGCGCGTCGTCGCGCGCGCATGCCGAAATCCTTCGCAAAAACCGAAGGTTCAGCACAGGATTCAAAATCTAAGACCACGAAAACAGATGGAACACACACGGTTTCGCAACAAGGGTGTTCAAAAGAAGCCTGCGCCCGCGCTCTTGCGAATTCTTGAGAGAACCATAAGTGTTTTAACGTATTCAGTAAATGTTACCTAGCGAACATCTCTCACGCGCATGACGAAGTCGCTCGAACGCCCTTTGCGCGCGTGTTGTCGCAAGAGCCCCTTGCAACAAGCGGGACGACGTGCACACGCGCGCGTCGTCGGGCGCGCGCATGCCGGAGCCCCTTCAAAAACATTCAGTTGCGCAGGAATGTGAAAAACTTGTGTCCCGAAAACATATTAAACCATATGATACTGCAACAGAAGTTACCAAAACAACCTGAGCTCGCGGTCTTCCAGATTTTTGAGAAAACCCATAGGTGTTTCAAAATGTCCTCAAATTCTGCCAAACTGGCCTTTCGCGCCGCATGTCAAACTCATTCGAACGCGCTTGTGCGCGTGCCGGGATGGGGCACGATCCGTGCCAAATAATACCACCCGCGCGCGCTTGTCGAACTCCTTCAAAAACCTTCCGACGCGAGGACATCGTCATTGCTATCGGCGAGCGTGATCAACACTGGCGCCGTCAAAGGCCTTGCCGTCGTCATCGCCACCATCATCAGCATCATCAGCAGCATCATCACTACTGCTACTACCAGTCATGGTGTCTACTATTGTCGGCGTCGCCAAGATATCGCGCCTGCCCAAGTCACCACTCGCACTGAAGTGCCCGCTGGGAAGTGCCCGGCGGTAAGCGCCACCGCGGCCACGTCGGTCGCGCCAAAATAGCTGGCCGCTGTGCGCACGAGCATGCGCTGGCGAGCGCGGCCGCAGAGACGCACCAGCCAACACCAAGCACTCATCGAAATCGCCGCCGCATGGGTTTTGCAAACAGAATTGCGGGTGGGTGGGTGGGATGTTTGCAAGGCATTGGATAGTTAACTCGTTTGTCAAACATCAATTGCACCATATAGACTACACCACGCCGTCCTCCCTCCTCCCGCGTCGTCGTCGTCGTCGCCTACGTCGTCCTCTGTCTTTTCTCCTGTTTGTCGTCGTCGTCCACTTTGGCGTCGTGGTCGTTTCCATCGTCGTTGTCGCCGTGGTCGTCCTTCCTCCTCCTCCCACGTCGTCGTTGTCGTCCGTCGTCGGCGTCTCATCGTCGTCCCTCCTATGTCGTCGCCGTCGTCGTCGTCGTTGTCGTCGTCGTCTTCCCTCCTCCCTCGTCGTTGTCGTCGTCGGCGTCGCCGTCCTTCCTCCTTCGTCGTCGTTCGCGTCGTCACCGTCCTCCCTCCTCCATCGTCGTTGTCGTCGTTGTCGCCGTCGTCGTCCTTCCTCCTTCCTCGTCGTCGCCTTCGTTGGTCGTCGTCGTCGTCGTCTTCGTCGTCGTCGGCGTCGGCGTCGTTGTCGTCGTCGAAGTCGTCGGAGACGTCGTCGGTGTCGTCCTAGTCGTTGTCGTCGGTGTCGTCGTAGTCGGTCTTAACAGGTTTTGCAAACCAAGTTGCGGGTGGGTGGGTGGGATGTTTGCGCGAGCAGTGGAGATGACGACTTCAAGTTCCGCAGAGTGGATTCTCCTTTCTAAAAGATAATAGATTCTACCCCCCCCCCCCGGACTTATCGGGTCCCCCGCGCGTGCTGTAAATCACATATGATTCTGACCACATGTCCATCCTAAATATGAATTCATACCATCCCAGCCAAGCCGGTATCCCCCCCCCTGCGGTTCCCTTGTAAAAAACACTATGCGGTGACATGTTTTGTTCTAACATCGCACTTTTTCACGAATCCCTTGCAAAAAATGGGACGAAGTGCACACGCGCGCGTCGTGGCGCGCGCATGCCGAAATCCTTCAAAAACCTTCGGTTCCGGAGAGATTTCAAAATTGAATTTCCCAAAAAAACATATAAAAACACATGGTTTCGCAACACTGATTTGCTAAAAAAACTTACGCGCGAGCTCTTGCGAAATCTTAAGAAAACCATAGGTTTTCCAAGATTTTCACAAAATGCTACCAAACGGGCTTCGCGCGCGCGCATGTCGAAATCTGTCGAACGCCCTTGCGCGTGTGCCGTCGCGAGAATCCTCTGCAAAAAATGGGACGAAGTGCAGACGCGCGCGTCGTCGCGGGCGTATGCCGAAATCCTTCAAAAACCTTCGGTTTCGGAAGGATTTCGAAATCGTGCGTCCAAAAAACCTACAAAAACACAAGGTTTCGCAACACGGGTTTTCAACAAAATTGTGCGCGCGCGCTCTTGCGTCGTCGTCGTCGTCGTCGTCCTCCCTCCTCCTCGTCGTCGTCGTCGTCGTCGTCGCCGTCGTCGTCTTCTGTCTTTCCTCGTCGTCGTTGTCGTCGTCTTGGCGTCGTCGTCGTTTCCGTCGTCGTTGTCGCCGTGGTCGTCCTTCCTCCCTCGTTGTCTTCGTCGGCGTCTCGTCGTTGTCCCTCCTATTTCGTCGCCGTCGTCGTCGTCGTCGTCGTCGTCGTGGTCTTCACTCCTCCCTCGTCGTTATCCTCCTCCCTCGTCGTCGTCGTCCGTCGTCAGCGTCTCGTCGTCGTCCCTCCTATTTCGTCGCCGTCGTCGTCGTCTTCGTCGTCGTTGTCATCGTCGTCGTCTTCCCTCCTCCCTCGTCGTTGTCGTCGTCGGCGTCGCCGTCCTTCCTCCTTCTTCGTCGTTGGCGTCGTCGCCGTCTTCCCTCCTCCATCGTCGTTGTCGTCGTTGTCGCCGTCGTCGTTTTTTCTCCTCCCTCGTCGTCGTCTCCGTTGGCGACGTCGTCGTCGTCTTCGTCGTCGTCGTCGGCGTCGTTGTCGTCGTCGTCGGTGTCGTCGTCGTCGTTGTCGTCGTCGAAAACATTGGAGACGTCGTCGGTGTCGTCGCAGTCGCTGTCGGCGGCGCCGTCGTCGTCGATGTCGCTGTCGTCGTCGGCATCGGTGTCGTGGCCAAGTGCCATGCAGTACCTACCGTCACGGTCTTGTCTGAAGATGTCTTGCGACCAAGTTGCGGGTGGGAGGGTGGGATGTTTGCACGAGCAGTGGAGAGGACAGCTTCAAGACGGTCAAGATTAATTGACCGCATATATTGCACCACGTAGATTTCGCACGATAGATCGCACCACACGGACTGCTCCACGTAAATTGCACAACAAGTATGGTGAAACATAGATGGCACCACGTAGATTCTCCTTTCTACAAAGAGGATAGACTCTATCCCCCCCCCCCCCCGGATTTAACGCTTCCTCCTGGGATAATAATACTTTCATATATATATATATATATATATATATATATATATATATATATATATATATATTCTGCACATTCGTCCATCCTAAATATGAAATCATAGCATCCCAGCCAAACCGGTATCCCCACCCTGAGGGTCCCTTGTAAGAAACACTATGCGGTGACATTTTGTGTTCTAACATAACACTTGTTCGCGAATCCCTTGCAAAAAAAGAAAGACGAAATGCACACGCTCGCGTCGTCGCGCGCGCATGCCGAAATCCTTCAAAAACCTTCGGTGCCGGAAGGATTTCGCAATCGAGTTTCCAAAAAACATATAAAAAAACAGGGTTTCGCAACACTGATGTGCTAAAAAAGCTTCCGCGCGAGCTCTTGCGAAATCTGAAGAAAACCATGGGCTTATATATATATATATCTAAAAAACAAAAAAACAAAAAAACAAAAAACAACAACAAAAAAAACAACACAAAAAACAAAAAAAAAAAAAAAAAAAACGATTTGCGCAAAATGCTACCAAACGGGCGTCGCGCGCGCATGTCGAAATCTGTCGAACGCCCTTGCGCGTGTGCCGTCGCGAGAATCCTCTGCAAAGAACGAGACGAAGTGCAGACGCGCGCGTCGTCGCGCGCGTATGCCGAAAACCTTCAAAACCCATCGGTTTCGGAAGGATTTCAAAATCGTGTGTCCAAAAAACCTACAAAAACATAAGGTTTCGCAACACGGTTGTTCAACAAAAGCGTGCGCGCGCGCTCTTGCGTCGTCGTCGTCGTCGTCGCCGTCCTCCCTCCTCCCGCGTCGTCGTCGTCGTCGTCGCCTACGTCGTCCTCTGTCTTTCCTCGTGTTCGTCGTCGTCGTCCTCTTTGGCGTCGTGGTCGTTTCCGTCGTCGTTGTTGCAGTGGTCGTCCTTCCTCCTCCTCCCTCGTCGTCGTCGTCGTCCGTCGTCGGCGTCTCGTCGTCGTCCCTCCTATTTCGTCGCCGTCGCCGTCGTCGTCGTTGCCGTCGTCGTCTTCCCTCCTCCCTCATCGTTGTCGTCGTCGGCGCCGCCGTGCTTCCTCCTTTTTCGTCATTCGCGTCGTCGCCGTCCTCCCTCCTCCCTCGTCGTTGTCGTCGTTGTCGTCGTTGTCGCCGTCGTCGTCCTTCCTCCTTCCTCGTCGTCGTCTTCGTTGGCGACGTTGTCGTCGTCGTCTTCGTCGTCGTCGGCGTCGTTGTCGTCGCCGAAGTCGTCGGAGACGTCGTCGGTGTCGTCGTAGTCGCCGTTGTCGTCGTCGTCGTCGTCGTCGGCGTCGGCGTCGTTGACGTCGTCGTCGTCGTCGTCGGTGTCGTCGTTGTCGTCGTCGAAAACATTGGAGACGTCGGTGTCGTCGTAGTCGGTGTCGGCGGCGCCGTCGTCGTCGTTGTCGCTGTCGTCGTCGGCGTCGGTGTCGTGGCCAAGTGTCATGTTGTACGTACCGTCACGGTCTTGTCTTAAGAGGTCTTGCGACCAAGTTGCGGGTGGGAGGGTGGGATGTTTGCACGAGCAGTGGAGAGGACAGCTTCAAGACTGTCAAATATTAGTTGCACCACATAGATGCCACCACATATATTGAACAACGTATGCTGCGTCACATCGATTGAACCACAGAGGTGCACAACATAGACTGCACCACATAGATTGTTCAACATTGATTGCACCACAGAAATTATTAAAAACACACTGATTGGTGGTCCACGCTGGCTAACATTGTTCGAAATTGTACCTGGCGTCGCGACTTCCGAGACAGGTACGACAGGTAATGGACCATCACGATAAACAGTCGATTCGACTTCTACAGAGGCTGAACAGAATACACAACTACATAGGCCAACAATGCAATTATTAATGATATAGGTTGGCATGTGTATCATGGTGTCACCCGCGGCGCGACCCATCTAATTCAACACCCGCTGACATAGCTCATCAGAGCTAGACATTGACATGTAAACGGCGGCGGCAAGGAGCATCAGGTGGAGTGGAGCGAAGGTGTAAAGTAGGTTGCGGCGCATCGTATGTAGCACTCGCTTGCAAGGGGAAGCGACACAAGATGGGGGGCAACGAAATAAAGGAGCGTGCCGACTTGGGAGCGCACCGTCGTGACCTCTCACTCACCATCACCATCACTACCATCAACATCGTCATCGTCGTCGTTGTCACCTTCACTCCCCTCGTCGTGACCATTGTCCTCATAGTACTCTGATTTTCCCCCTCCTCTTCCTCATTCTCACCTCGTCCTCCTCCTCCTCCTCCTCCTCCTCCTCCTCCTCCTCCTCCTTCTCTTCATCATCATCATCATCATCATCATCATCATCATCATCATCATCATCATCACAATCAGTATCCTCAGTAGCAGCAACATCAGCATGACCATCATGTCCCATCATCATCATCATCATCATCATCATCATCATCATCATCATCATCATCATCATCATCATTATCATCATCATCATCATCATTGCGCTCATCCTCCGCATCCTCATCATCCTCGCCCTCCTCCTACTCCACCACTCCCATCATCTTGCTTCTCATCCGCCGCCTCACCCTCTTCCCCATCATGGTGTGGTCCCCTCGCTTTGGGTCCTCCTTTTCTTCCAGCTGCTGCTCCTGCTTTTGCTGTCCCTGCTGCCACTTACTCACCGGTCGGAAGAAGTAGGTAGAACCATGAAGTAGGAAGGCGTTGGAAGTAGATTGGGTTTCCGCCCGCCTCCGGAAGAGGAGGGAAGAGGGAAAGCCACTCGGCTCTTGAAATAGGAAGGCGGCTAAAGTAGATTGAGAACTAGAAATCCAAGAATGCCTACTTTCAGCGACCCTCCTCCTCACATCCCCCTGCGGTCTCCCGCCCGCCCCCTCGTCCTGGGCGTGCTGCTTGGCCTCCTCCAGCCGGGCCCGGAAGCTCGCCCTCGCCCACTCGTGCCGGAGCAGGTCCTGAAGAGAAGAGCCCAGGCATGCGATGTCTTGATCGTTTCAACACGGGGTACCCCCAAGTCCCGACCCTGTTCCCCAGGGCTGGCTTTGCATCCTCAGTCGTTTTCTGACGGTCCCGCGGCCCAGCTGGGGATCCCAAAGGCCGAAGACAAAGAAAACACCTCCGTCCTGGTTGTTGCGAGACGTTGCAAGTCCGGGAAAGGCGCCACCACCACCACAGAACCTCGAAACCCCGTTTTCTCGCCCGCATCGTAGCGGATGTGGCCACACCCGGTTGGCCAGGAGCCGACATATCCACGCAAAAACATCGGACAGAGTTGGGCCTGCGGCTGCTTGGTGGCTGTGGATGCCCTCCCTCCCCAGAGGTCCGAAGTGGAGAAGATGCGCTCCCTGAAGTACTCCGTCCTGCCAAGGCGCAGCGGAGAGGAGGAGCAATAGGAAAGAGGAGAAGGTGGTATAATATTGTTGTACGAAGGAAAACGGAGCAAGCCCCCTCGCGTCCAGAGGCACTTACAGACTGACGTTAAAAGTCAGGGGGGGGGCTCCAGGTTACAGAAGGTTGGTCTCTCTACTGCGCTTCGAACGGCACGAAATCACCGCTTCCCTCGGATCATGGCAGAGCAGCAACCCTGTGTATATCCAGAGGCTCAGGGTTCTCGAGCCCGAACTAAGAACTATCGGAGGAGGCGGAGGACGCCGACGACGAAGACGAGGAAACGGACGTTGATGACACAGGTTTGCCGCATCCGCACTGGATCCCACAACCTGCAACCGACGTATTTTAGAATCACAGGCGCAGCCCAAGACATGCGAATGGCGCGTGTGCTGTAGCATGCAGAGAAGCTCACAAACCACCTGGGTGACGGACAGCGATGCGAGGCATAAGATGACGATGACGATGACGATGACCATGACCATGACCATGACGATAACGATGACGATGATGTCGATGACAATGACAACGATGACGAGGATAATGACGATAACGCCTTCGCCATCGCAGAGGAAGATCCGAATGATGACCAGCAGCAGTCGGCTGGGAGGAGCAGCAGCAGCAGCAGCAGCGGCATCGGCTGGGGGCGGGGCAGAAGCGGGAGGCAAAGATGTCTGGCAAGGGAAATGCTCGAGCACCATGTGAAGAGCGGTCTGAATTCCGTCTCTGGCGCGATAGTTGCGTACACAATGTAGCACGGGCGGGAGAGAGACGGGCTTGCAGCAGACCTTCCCCACCTCCGCAGCCATGTGCCTCAGAGACCCCACAGAGGACCGTGCTGGCAACACACTGCGCACTGTACACTGGTGATGAGTATACGAACAAAGTCATTGTGAGGAGGAGAAAGACGACACTGGAAGTGCGACACGACGATGACGATCCGTTGGACTGACTACACCGAAAAGTTTTGTTTCGCGCGTGCTCCACTGGCATCTGCCGCGCAGCCGCCTTCGAACCAGGCTGCCACATCCGTAACGAACCAGTCGCGCTGTGCCGTCAGGCGTTCTCCTGCCCTCGGTGGGGAGGATGACAAACGAACAACACACACCCATGCCCGTAGGGGGCACGCAGGGGCACCCATGGGGGGGGGGGGGGGCGAGGGGGGTGTATGACGTAACGCCCCCCCCCCCCGCCGTGTGGTTCCAGCACCGCAGCCGCGCCCGCGCGCGCGACGCGACGAGCGACGAGCGACGAGCGACGAGCGACGACGACGACGACGACGACGACGACGACGACGCGAGCATCATGTATGTGGCGATATGCCCCACTGCGCCTGTGTACACCACAGCCCTCGCGTGCACCACAGCACCTGCGTACACCGCAACAACCGTGTGCAACGCAGCGCCTGTGTACACCACAATGCTTGCGTACACTACAGCGCCCGTGTACAAGTGTACACCGCAGTTACCATGTGCAACACAGCGCCCGTGTACACCACAATGCTTGCGTGCACCGCAGCGCGCGTGCACGCCACAACGCGTGTCTACACCACAGCATCCACGTGCAACGCAGCGCTGGTGTACACCACAATGCGTGCGTGCATAGGACAGGTAGAAGGAGCATGTACGTGAGGATCTGCTGCGGCCAACTAGACGCCACGCCAGGAAAGTGCTGATAATCGAATGCGACGTTCTTCCCTCCTCCCTCCCTCCTCCTCCACCTCCTCCACCTCCACCACCTCCTCCTCCTCCTCCTCCTCCTCCTCCTCCTCCTCCTCCTCCTCCTCCTCCTCCTCCTCCTCCTCCCCCTCCTCTTCTTCCTCTTCCTCCTCCTCCTTCTCCTCCTCCTCCTCCTCCTTACCCCCTGTCGTGCGGGTTGGCGCTACAGCGCGCGTGCGAGTTTCAGCGCACACCGCTCAATGGTCGATTGAATCGGTCCATTTGGTTCTCGGACGGCCAATTTAGCTGGAGCCTCCTGGACTTAATTGGAAGGAGTTCGCGTGATGCGTGCGGACTCGGGAGGACTCGTAGATTCATTCGAGCGGCACTCCATTGTCCATGAGGATTATTTCCCATTGCTTTCTGACGAATCCACAAACGCTCCATTTTGTCATAAAGCATTCGTTCGAACATTATATATATATATATATATATATATATATATATATATATACAACGGTGGTGTTGTGTTGCACACGGTTGCTGTGGTGCACACAGGCGCCGTGGTGTACACAGTCACTGCAATGCACGCAGGCATTGTGGTATACACTGGTGTTGTGTTGCACACGGCTGATGTGGTGTACGCAAACGCTGTGGTGTGCACAAGAGCTGTTGTGCCCGCAAGCACGGTGGCACAAACTGACGCTGTGTTGCACGCGGCTGCCGTGGTGTACATAGGCGGCGTGGTGTACACAGGTGCTGTGAAGCACGCAGGCACTGTGGTGTACACAGGCGTTGTGGCGCAAATCGCCACCTACATGCTGGCGCTACCCGTCCCCCGTCATTCCTAGGCATTCCCAGGCGCCACCGGCGCGAAACGTGACGTCATCGACCCCCTCCAACCCCTCTTAGATAATTGCCGTCATCGGCCCGGAATAAAAAACAGGCTTCAGCCGTGTCCGCGCGCACGACGAGTATGAGCGACGAGCGACAAGCCACGAACGACGACGACGAACACGACGACGACGACGACGACGACGACGACGACGACGACGACGACGACGACTGCGGACCAGACTGCTATGCGGATTCCTACTCGGACACCTACGCAGATCCCAATGCGCACGGCGGCAGTGCCTGGAGCGCACTGGGGGGGGAGCGTTACGTCATAGCGGGGGGGGAGCGGGAGCCATGACGCCCGTCATGCCCCAAGCAATAAAGAAACGGGCCCCAGCAGGCATGGCATATCCTCGACATCATAGGGGGTGCGCAGGAGGGGGTCTCTCACCAGGGCTGCTATCCGTGACGGTCGTCCATGGCTCAGCAGGCATGGCATATTCTCGACACCGCAGGAGGTGCGCAGGGGGTGGTCTCTCACCGCGGCCGCTATCCGTGACGGT